TGAATTCTTCGATTGGCTACATAGTTGATTGAATTCTGGAATTTAAGGAGGTTTCACAAGAACATATAGTAAAACTAGTGGCGATCAAATTGAAGAAGAATGCCTCACTTTTGTGGGAAATTTTAAAAAAGATTTCAAAAAAAGAGGGAAGATCCGAGATCACGTCGTGGACCAGAATGAAGAAATATGCAACGAAAGTTCACCCTAGCATTACTGCCAAGAAGTCTTCATCTAGCTTCATAACCTTCATCAACAAGAATTATCCGTGGAGAAATATATTGCTGAATTTGAACATTTGGGGTTGAAGTGAAATCTTTTTGAGCCCAAATAACACACTATTGCACAATTTTTGGGTGGTCTATGATTGTCTATTGCTAATGTAGTTCAACTCCAATCTTTCTGGACGTTACAGGACGTGATTAACTTGGCGGTGAAGGCTGAAAAACAATCGAATGTGGGTAGGAACACTCCAATAAGCATTCATACCAATGATTTGGGATGTTCCAACAAATCGGTCCACTTCCGGGCACAGGTTGAAAGCAACAACAAAATTGTTGTCCAACTGCAACGTACTACTACCACAGTGGGAGAAGGAACTACATCCTCAAATGTCATGGGCGGCTACATAGCCTCGACTTGTCCTAACCGGCTCATTATTTCATTGGTGGAGGAGGTTGATCAAGAGGAAAATGATGTGGTAGATGAAGAAGATATTAAACCAATAAGGGGACGAAGAGGAATTTCTTATGATAAGATGTCTCCTAAGTATCGAACGATATTCCAATAATGATTGGTTACGACTTAACATCTTTAGAACCCAGTGCATAGTTTGGGACAAAGTTTGTAATCTTATCATCGAATGTGAAAGTTGTGGAGTAGTGGTTGCAACAATCATGATGGAGAAGTTTAGGCTAACTACTTAACCTCATCCCCATCCCTATCAACTCACGTGATTCAAGATAGCGTTGAAATTAAAGTCAATAGACAATGAATGGTGTTGTTTTGATTTTTTGGAAACTTTAAGCACAGGTTTTATGTAATGTAGTTCCTATGGACGCTGGTGATATATTGCTTGGTTGGTCTTGGCAATATGATTGCTGTAAAATTTACGATGTGTATGGTAACACATTTTCCTTTAACAAAGAGGTAATTCAAACCATTTTGGTGCCTATGAAAAGCGAGATTTAGACAGAGCCTAAAATCAACACTTTTACTTCATTGCTTTTGAAAAATCTTCAGGAGACAACTATTGAGCAAGTAACTCTTGATCATAACTGAGAGTTCCATACAGCTACCTGCAACTCCTTCCGAGGTGCAGGGATTAATGCAATTTAATACAACAATTTGTGGAGCTTCTAGAAGGGTGAGTCTCAATTCTAGTTTTCTAAGATGGTCCATAGGGATTTCTAGAGCTAGAACCTAGACTCTAAGGAGGAGAAGAAAAGACCTCACAAAAATGAGGTCAACAATGAGCTGAACCACAAAGGATCGGGGTGACTTAGTGCTAGCCTGTGTGTGGTTCCGACTATCTTGGTTCCAAAGAAGGATGTGTTTGAAGATAAAATGTTGGAAGATGCTTGGATCATGAAACTTAACCTACCTGGAGACTAGAGTGGCTCCATTTTTCAGTGTCTCTTAGTTGGTTGCGCATTGGGAATCATATTTTGAGATTGTTCAATAGGAAGGAATCTTGCCAACCCTTGGAGAATGATGCGAGAGATAGAGTTTTATTTCAGTTTATGTCTTGATACATGTTTCAATTTGTTGTTGTGTCTTTATGTTTTAGTGTGGCATGCTTGTAATTAGGATAGTCCAGCCTTTATAAATAGGGGTTGTTTTGTGTGAGCTGAGTATGGAGAGTATTTTGATTGGTTGTAAGAATTCTCATATTCTTCCGGGTTAAGAAATATATTCAGTATCCTGGAGTGGTGCCCAGGTGGTGATCAACCACCATTCATTACCGTTTATGAATTATTCCCTTTCTTGGGATTTTCAGTAATCTTTTTCCTGTTTTCTGTATTTTCCGAAGTACATATTTGTGTTTTACCTTGTTTCTGGTATCATTTATGCTAGATGAACTTCTAGGTGAAAAGTGGGGTACAAATACCTCTTATATCTTCGGCTCTTTTTTAGCAGTTTAGGCAATTTTGCAAAGTCGGGTACAAATACCTCAAATTTAATAGTGTCTCACAAATTTTAGGCGCAGGCCTTGTTGAAGAAGTTCTGACGGAAATAATAGGTACCAATTAGTCCATTTGGTGAGGACTTTGGAAGTTGTTATCATAGACTTGACATTGATTCTTCCCTAGATAGTAATAAACTTACATCTTGTAAACAAAATTATTATTTTTTACTATTAAGTATGATTGT